GGACAATCCCTTTTAAAGTGTCCAACTTTGCCACAGTTGTAGCAGGCTTGACTAACACCTGCTCCCGATGATTGGTTAGCTGATTGAGTAGGGGTTCTGCAGTACCGAACTGTGTGCCCTTTCTTACCACAGTTGGTGCAAGACAATTCTCGACAGGGACCAGGATGATGATGGTATTTACACTTGTCACACAGAGGGAGGTTACCAGCATATTTACTGGTAGGAGTTGAGGCAGTAGATCCCATGGCAGAAATAGCAACAACAGGAGTAGTAGTAGCAGCATGGACTGCTACCGTCTGTTGTTTCTTGGATGATCCTTGAGAAGATTGACCCTTCTTCTTCTTCCAGAATTTCCTCTTTTCACCACTCCTTTGAGTCGGCTCAGAAGTGGTAGTGATTTCCTTAATATCGTCGTTGTGATCAATTAGAATTTGTGCTAAGGTCTTGGCACTATCGTAGGTATCCGGACGAGCAGCCAAAACATGACTCTTTATTGGTTGAGATAATCCCCAAACGAACCTTTCGATCTTTTTGTTTTCAGGAGTGACTAACCCCGGGCAGAGAAGTGCGAGATCGTCAAATCGGGAAGTATATGCAGCAATGTCGGAACCTTTCATCTTCAGGTTCCAGAGCTCGTGCTCTAATTTCTACATTTCACCATGGGGGCAGTATTCAGCAATGAGAAGTTCCTTCATGGCTTCCCAGCCCATGGCATTGGCTGTGGGTAAGGTTAGAGATTTGACTCGGCCATTCCACCAAGTCAAAGCTTTATCCGCGAAGGTACAGGCTGCAAATTTCACTTTATCGGATTCCGCACAAGCACAGATTTCAAAGATGGACTCGATTTTCTCGAACCATCGAGATAAAGAAATGACACCTCCAGCGCCATTAAAGGATGTTGGCTTCGCATTCATGAAATCCTTATAGGAACCCCCTCTTTGGTGTCCCTGGCTACCCTCAGGGTTTTGAGATTGAGTACCACCACCTGAACCATTAGGGTTCATTTGTGACATAGCTGCTACCATTGCAGCTGTCATCATTGTCTGGACTGATGCTAAGTCAAACTGGGGAGGAGGTGGCGGCGAAGAAGGATTGTCGTTGTTCTTTGAGCTAGGTCTCTTTCGGGGAGGCATCTTGATCTAATAAGATCAAGAAAGAGAGGATGGTAAGTCCTCTACATTGAATCGATAGACATGACAGTTATATGATTCGAGTAAGCGATAAAGCAGGAAAAAGTTATCGAACAGATAATTTATTGCTAAGAGTGATCATAGAGAACTACTCGAATGAGGATTATTACAGAGGATCGAGGTCGAGAAATACTCCCATAGTATTTCATGAGTTGTTTACGACAATGATTCGATGTTTGGGATATTAGGGTAAGTTTTAGGCATGTCACATACCACAGTCACTCCCAAGCACATGTTGGCCGTGTCTCGAATGAATATAGTTGGCCAGGCTACATTGATCCTAGACACGACTACATAACTGCCCAGGTTTAACCGTAGTACACAACACCCATTTACTTATGTTCCGTTCTACTTGTGGTTACGGATGGCGACGGTTTGGTATACTTGTATACTTTTGAAAATACTTGTAGTTTGAAGATACTTTTAATTCAGAGCACTTAGGCCCTTTAGTGTTTATAGTTTTATACCATGTAAGGTTTGGTATACTTTATTCACTATAAACAAGGGCTCTGATACCAATCTGTCACACCCCGAAAACCGAAGGCGGAATACATTTCCGGGGTTGACTACCGTGTTGAGTATCAAATCCAATGTACATAGTAAGTAAAGTAAAACAAGCATTACATTACATAATAACAGTTTTACAGTTGTTCAAAAGTAAAGTTTGTACAGTTGTGATACATAGTATATATATAGACAAAATGTAACGGGTCTTCATGTACACCGTCTTCATGCAAAAGGATCTTCGAGTACCTGCTCTAACACTGACCTGAGAACACAAGCGGTTTGAAAATCAGCATAAAGCTGGTGAGTTCATAAGCGGTTTTGTTTTACGAAAATGTATCGGTTTCCTTTCTGTTTCTAAAATGTTATGTACACCAAGAAAATCCCGTATTTTCTTAAAAGTTGGTTATTGTTTCACAAATGTAAAGTATAGTAAGTTTGTACACTGAAAACATGCTTACTCATGTGAAAATGTATAGTTGGTTATCTGACTGGTTAAACTGTTCTGTTTACTTATCATGTGTTACCAGGAAAGTCCCATACTTTCCTTATTGTATGTTACAAATTGTAAAAGATGTAATGTTATCCATTCTGTGACTCTTTCTAGTTACGTAAGTGTTACCCAGGAAAGCCCCATGCTTTCCTGCATGTATGTATCTTATGTAAACGATGTGAAAGATGTAAAAGATGTAATCGTGATTAGATTCCATGTTTTCCCCAAGAAGGTCCCGTACCTTCCTGAATGTTAGTTACAGTATGTATAAAGTAATCCATTATTACTGTAAGTAAATCTCTGTTATCCTAATTGCGAGTTCCATAACCATACAATAGACTGAAACCTGTGGCAATAAGTAGTCCACATGTGGCAATAAGTCGTCCACATACTTATGACTTTCGTCACCCTTGAACCATTTCGGTTCGGCTGTAGCTAGCAGCCAGGTGTGGGGTAGTCAGCCCCGTACAGATCTATACACTCAAGTCACGCTCTCTAAATACCAGAGATTCTGGTTATGGGTGTAGTCCTCCACTCGCGTAATCCAGGTGGAGTGTTCTCCGAGGACGTGTCTCCAATCGTACCGGAATAACAAATTTACTAGTAATAATATGAAAGTCCTCCACTCACGTATGTGCGTGGAGTGTTACCGAGGACAAAACAGTGTACAGGTATTATATTCAAATGTTTTAATGTCATGCTTTTAACTGATAAAATGTGGAAAACCATTTGTGAAATACATGTAAAACATACTAGTTTAAAGACTTATTTCACAAATATAAGTTACGGGATCTGTATGTTCGATCTGTTATCAGCTGTAGTTATCAGTTATAAAAGCATAAGAATATGAAACACACATTTGAAAACATGTTATGAGTACAAGAATTCCCTTGTACTTTGCTTGTGTTCCCTCCCCCCTGAAAACAGTGAAAACAGTGAAAAAGGGTAGGGGTATGAACTCACCGGACTCGGAAACGTGTCGGTTTTGAATGCTAGACGTCGGTTCGGGGTTTGATTACTCGCGATGACCCTATGTAAAATGATATAATGTCCATATATATACAATTAGAGATACATTCACTAATTATATGGAACATTACACTCCAATGAGGTTAAACACCTCAAAAACGAGCGTTTGGAGTGACCCGGGTGACATCTTTGGATTTGGAATGACACTAGGGACTTGGGACTTGAGTTTACTCCCCATAAGTAAACATTTTAAAGAGTTTACAACAATGGAACACCCACATACATGAGTTTACGGCCGTAAACTCATGTGGGTGAGGTTTTGGTGTTTTAAGGGCTCAAATGGACTTAGGGATTGCTAGGAATGATTATCTAAACACCTTGGAACACTTGAAATGGATTTAAAACATTTAAAACATGAGTTTACGGCCACACTCATAGAGTTTACGGCCGTAAACTCACAATGGCTAAGAAAAATTGATTTAAGATACTTAGGGCAATCATATGTGATTCAAACTAATTTTCTAAGCATTGTTATGAATTTAGAACATCAATTAAGACCTTTGTTGGAGTTTACGGCCTAGAGGAATGTTCTAAGGCCGTAAACTCTCTTTTACCTTTGAAAAAGATAGTTTTTGGTGCTTAAAACAATCACATGTGATTCTAGAATTTTGTACAAGCCATTTGGGTGTGTTTCATGCATCTTAAACATTGTTTTATGAGTTTACGGCCAAGGGTATGTTCCTAGGCCATAAACTCTCATAAATCATACTTTTTTTGTGTTTCAATCCTTTAAACCATTTTTAGATGCATCTAGATTTTACCACAAAGCCATAGATTGAGTTTGGAAGCATTTGAACATGTTTAAAGGCCTTAGATCATCCTTTTAGAGGAGTTTACGGCCCAAGAGAGTGTCTTGGCCGTAAACTCTTCTTTGTTACTCAAAAATCAAGTTTAAAGTGTTCCAAGTCTAGATTAGCAAGTCCAAGGTTTATGTCTAAGTCCCAACTAGGTTTTGGAAGGGTTAAATGGCTTAAATACCCCTTGTATATGAGTTTACGGCCCAAGAGAGTTTCTTGGCCCTAAACTCACTTTTGTCCCTCTAAATCCATGTTCTACATGTTATGAGTTCTTTCCTTTAAGCCCTTAAGTCATATCTAATGTCCAACTATGCAAAGGAAGGGTTTTAGGGCTTAAAAACCCTTGAAATGTGAGTTTACGGCCCATGAATGTTCCATGGCCGTAAACTCATGAATGTTGGCCTATTTCATGATTTGAACTCGAATTTGGATGCCAAATATGTTAGAGATTAAGGCTAGGAAGGTACCTTAGAGATTAGAAGCCTTAATTTTGAGTTTTGATCTCTTAAACTTGGATTAGGAGAGAGGTGGGTAATGTTTAGTGATAATTTGACCAAAGGCTTCAAATGAAGTCCTAAACACGTTTATATAGTGTTTAAGTTTTGGACACGGTGGAATTTTACCCGATACCGGCGTTAGACGGGGTTTTTGGTCGTACCCGATTGAGTTACCGTAACCCGATACGGTAAATTCTAGAATTATTCCGATCACTAAAGTTGGGTGTTAAATTGATTTCTAAATGTATTAAGACACCCATTAAGTCATTTTAAATGTGTACTTTATAATGACTCAATTAAAAGGAAGATCGGAAATCGGAAATCGGAACGACGATCGGTTGCGCGAGTTGATTTATGAAAAAGTTACATTAAAATGAAGCGGAAATTTCGGGTTGTTACAACAACGAATTCACAAACAACAACAATAGAGAGAGAGAGAGAGAGAGAGAGAAATCATACAATAAAAGCTAGTATGATAGCAATTGCAAATTTAGTGCCACCAATACCATCCAAAATACCAACAGTAGCAGCAAGAGCAGTCAGCAAGAGCAGTCACAGTTGTTGAATGTGATGATGGCATGCCACCAGATCCCATAAGTTGCTCAATATCCCATTCCTTTTCTTTATAACAAATGATAAGGTCAAATGTGGCAAGCATCAAAATCAGAGTTTTGGGAAAAAAAAGTTGGATTGCCAGTGCAACAATCATACAGCCACATGGACCATTTCTGTTACTTACCTTAGATTAAATGTGGCAAGCATCAAAATTAGAGTTTTGGAAAATACTATGTGTATCATTTATGTACCTATGGTGGCAAGGAAGAGCAACATATGCGATTGTTGGATTGGCCTTACATATGGGGCATAATATATCATCCCCCTCAGAACCTGAAAACTTATCCTTTGAAAATGGACGAAAAAGACTTTTCATTGAAGATGAATTGAGAATCGGAAGTAGCAGCAACAACATTTCCTGCAAATGCATAACAATGGGTATGTAAGTACTTCATTTATACAAAAGAGGGAAGATTGGTAAAATTTCATCCATGAAGAAAAATAGAGTGGAGAATGGAATTGAAATCCATGAGTTTATGGAAATGGAATGGAATTGAATTCTAACGGAGTTCAATTCTTTAGCCATTTGCAACCAAACACTGGAAATGGAATGAAATTGAATTCTAATTCCAGCTAACCAATATTCATAAGAACAAAAATTACCGAGAACTCATTCCACGATATGGAACCAGTGATTCTTTTGTGAAACATTTCACGATTTCCATCTCTTCCATCACTAATCTCTGTTATGATTAATGATTTAAAATGTTTAACAACTGAATATGATCTCTGATGCTGTTTCTATGAAGATATACCTGAATGCTTTCGCAAAAAGGATGAGAGACTTCTCCATGGAATCGCCATGGATTTCTTTGTCATCTCTACCCATCATATGATAACATGATCACGCAACATGAATCAATGGCTGTGTGTTGTTTGCTTTATATATATGAACCTAGAACCCTAAATTTCAGGGGAATGAATTAAAACCCAATATACATATATATCAAATCACGCAACATGAAACAATTGAAAAACTAAAACTGCTCTTTAGCTTTAATTTTATAATTAGGATAATGACAATTTACCTGGGAATACAAATGAAGACGAACAATCACCAGTCATCATCTCCAACCATCATCCCCTGATAACCCCTTGACAACCTTCGAACGCCACCTCACACCCTCACCAGCAAATCGAAAAAAAATAATAAGAAGAAGGGAGAAGAAGGGTTGTGATCGAACCAAAGGAAGAATAGGCACATCTTTTTTTTTCTTTTCGCTCTCAAACTCTAGCTGTAAATAGGAAAGCACGAGAGATATTGAGAGAATAGACACAAGAGAGACAAAGATATTGATTCAGGTACGATTGAGAGGTAAGAAAATATAATCATTTGAAGAAGAAGGAATTTGGATGGGTGATGGTGGGGACGAGGAAAACTTGTTTCATGTGACATCCAGAGCACAAAAGCCCTAGTTCTTCCAATTTTGGGATGGCGTGTATTTAACGTCTCAGAGGGAGAAAATGGTGGATAAAAGAGGGTAGTTGACATCGTTGACCACTGTATGGCTACAAAGCTCCAAAAATACGAAAGGGAGGAAGAGTTACAACCGCATAATGAGGTCTAGTGTTTACAGAGAAAAGGAGAAGTAGATAATGAAGGTTGTTGACTGGTGGAGAGGATGAGTTCGTTATTCCTTCCCAAACAACAACAAATTGATTAGAGAACAAAAATGAGGTCTATGGTTTACATGGAAACCCTAAAAGATAGATGAAATGCGGGGTTTTTAATTTTTTAGGATTTCGTTTCCCCCCCTACTTTTTTTTAGGATTTCATTTCCCCCCTGCTATTAAAGGATGGAACGCACGTACCATTAAAATTTATAAAGCGACATCCTCAAATGACGCACATGTGCCCTCCGTGTTTTTTTGTTTAGACACTAATTTAAGGGCACGCAATAATACGTGACCTAAATCCTTAAATTTTTTGAATAGATGACACTCTTTTAATGTCAGTCTCTTTTGCGTAACATAAATCAATGAGTGTCGTGGTTTGCGCGTCGTAAAAGGGTCTTTTTCTTGTAGTGTACATAACTTTTTTTCACTGATTGTAGGTTTTATTTGACGAGCAATATGATGACAATTGGTATATCGATAGTGGATGCTATCGTCATATGAATGGAAGGAAAGAAAATTTACGTGGTTATCGAAGTTTAGCAAATGTTGGTGTTGTAAAATTTGGAAATAATCAAAAGTGTCAAGTAAAGGGTTATGGTAAAGTCACGAAAGGGAAGTTTACTGTGAATCAAGTTGTGTTCAATGAAGAAGGAAGCATAATTTCAAATGTCTATACAAAAGAAGTTCTACTCAAATCCAAAAGAAAAGGCAACATGTTTACTCTTGACATTAATCCTATTGGTTGAAAACCCTCCGTAAGCTTACTCTCGAAAGCTTCATCAGATATCAGCTGGCTTTCGCATAGAAGACTGTCACATTTAAACTTTCAAAATTTGAACAAATTGGTGGTTCAAGACTTGGTAAGAGGATTACATGTTCTAAAGTTTAATAATGATACCCTGTATGCAGCTTGTGAACAAGGAAATCAACATAAACAATGTCATCCAATAACCATCGATTCAAGAATTGTCGAACCACTGGAATTACTTCACCTTGACTTATGTGGACCATCGACAGTTGAAACTCTTAACAAGAAACAGTACTTGTTGATGATTTTTATCGATTTAATTGGGTTTATTTTCTCAGGTTGAAATTCAAAGTTACTTAAACAATGATTAATTTTATCAATAAGATGGAAACAAGCTTGAAGAAGAAAGTTTGAAAAATTAAGAGTGATAATGGTTCTGAATTTAAGAACAATGTTCTTCATTCGTTTTTAGTTGACAAGGGGATTTCGCATAATTTTTCTTCACCATAAAACTGCAGAAAAATGGTGTTGTTGAAAGGCGAAATCGATCTCTTTGCGAAGAAGCACGAATAATGATCATTTATGCTAATCTTCCTTAATATCTATGGGCCGAATCTACTATATGTTTTAATTAGAACAAATATTTTATTCATCAAAGATTCAACATAACTCCTTATGAAATTATCAATAACCGAAAATCTAATCTCAAATTATTTCAGGTTTTTGGCTGTAGGTGTTTTATCATGAATCTCAAAGATAATCTTTCGAAATTTCAGTCCAAAGCCGACGAAGGAATTTTCTTGGGTTATTCTCATAATTTGGTTACATATCGAGTGTTGAACAAAAGAACAAGGAAAATTAATGAAATATTCAACATTATGTTCAATGATCATGATATTAAACAAGTTGAAAAATGTTTCGAACAAAAACCAATTCTTAATGAATTCATTGATGAATCTGAAAGTCATAACCCGTATGATTTTGATTATGATTTAATTTTTGGTGTTCTAGATAGAGATGTGGATGCCGAAATTAATGCTCAAGATAATCAAATTCAGGAATCATCCAAGCATTCTGATTGTTTGACATCTACTCCCGATGAAATTGATGAAAACTTGACATCACCTTCATCTACAAATAGCGAAAGTACGCTAAATGATCAAGTGGAGGGGGAGCACTTGAATTTAAATGATCATGCCGAGGGGGGGCATCCTTTATACGGGGAGAATAGAACAATAGATGATGATGTTGAGGGGGAGCAAACTGCAAATAAAGTTGTCGAGGGGAAGCTAAATATGTCAAATAATAATCAAGATGAAACTTTTCATGATCTAACCGATAATATTTCTGTTGTAGGTTTCGAAACAGAAGAAATGTTTGAAGATGAAACATTAGATTTTGATCCAGGATATCCTCCAATGAATAAATGGGTTAGAAGTCATCCTAAAGAACAAGTGATATGAGATCCACATGAAGGAGTGCTGACAAGAGCTCAAATACGTGCAAAGAATGAGGTACTCAATACTCATTAAGAGTTTTGCATTTTTAATGTTTTTATTTCGAAATTGAACCAAAGTCTGTTAAGGTTGCAATGCAATCTGAATTGGCTGAATTCGAAAGAGACAAGGTTTGGAGAGTAATGCCTAAACCAAAATATGTTTCATTTGTCGGATTAAAATGAATTTTCAAAAATAAAACCCACAAAGATGGTAATATTGTTCGAAATAAAGCTAGGCAAGTTGTAAAAGGTTATTCGCAAGAAGAAGGTATCGATTATGAAGAAACCTTTACCCTTGTCGCAAGACTCGATGCTGTTCAAATATTTTAGCCTATGTAGCTCATAAATATTTCAATGTATATCAAATGGATGTTAAATGTGCAATTCTAAATGGTGAACTCGAAGAAACTGTATATGTAGAACAACCTCCAGGTTTTGTAAATGAAGAATATCCTGATCATTGTTACATTCTAGATAAAGTAGTGTATGGTTTAAAATAATCACCAAGAGCATGGTATGGAACTTTATCTTCTTTCTTAAAACAACAGAAATTTAAACAATGATCAGTTGAACCCACTCTCTCTCGAAAGAAAGTTGGGTATCATCTTATGCTCGTTCAAATTTATGTTGATGATATTATTTTTTGGCTTTATTGAACCTGCTTTGTCTAGAGAATTCGAAAATATGATGAAAAGAAAATTTGAGATGAGTATGATGGGTAAGATTAACAACTTTCTTGGGTTGAATATGCATCAAAGAAAAGAAGGAATTTTTATAAATCTAGAAAACTACCCAAAGAATACACTTGAAAACTTTGGCTTGACGTATAGCACAAAATTACGAGTGCCAATGGCAGTTGGAACTGATGAGTTTAATACAAACAATCCTATGTGTACATGCAACCCTAGCTTTGGATCTATGTCTTCACTATTAGATATTCAACATTATGAACACAAGAATAAAACCCTAATGTACAATGCTATTTTCGAAATTCACATAAAAGGTTAGATCACATACCTCTTGTTGTTATATTGTAATAACAACTTAAATTTCCAAACCCTTTGTCTTGAAAGCAAGCACCACAAATGTAATGCCTCTAATGGCTCACAAACACCACAAGCAATTGGAGAAACTATAGAGAGAGAGAGAGAGAGGAGGTATAGAAATTATCCTTGGTATCTCTAGAGAATGGGTGGGATGATTTCTGAAGGCCAAGGGGTCTTTATATAGGGTTATGATTAGGGTTTCAGTCCTTATCCTTATCCAATTGCTTGCCCACCAAGCAATCACAAAATAAGCCTTGAAAAGCCCATATCCTCTATCCCTTGGACGATTTCAAGGATATCTTATCCTTGATTTCGTCCAACGTATAATAAGGATAATCATTGCCCTAATTTATAACTATCACATAATTACAATTCAGTCCCTCTAGTTTAATTAATTACATTTGATCAAAAAATTAATTCCTAATTTATTATTGAACAATATTAATTAAACTAATATGATTTTTCCTTTAATATATTATTCTTATAACATATTAATAAATCATAATAACCTCTCTCTTCAACTATTTCTCCAGTCAAGTTGCTTTGGTGAAGGCAACCCAAAAGGACCATGCACAACTGGGTCAAGTACTTACCAAATATGGTTACAGCCTTAGACACTAATCCAACAGTCTCCCACTTGGATAAGTCTAGTAACCACAAATGTAACGTACACCTCGATTAGCAATTGTAGCTCTCAAAGACGTTGCTGAACTCTGATCCTATCAGTAACTTGTCCTTTAGATAAAGGATCGTACATTCCTCTGTTTAGATATTTTGCTGACAATTTTATGGAACTAATTGTCTAACAATTGGTTTCTCAATCTCAGATTTATTCGACATAGAACTTAATTGAACACATCAATTGAGTCCTGACCAGGACCGACACATAAGTCAAATCAAATCATCGAGC